AGTCAATTATACAAATAATTGTATAAAACTTTCTAAAAATTACTCACTAACCAATATTCTCGACAAAAAATCCGTAATTTGATTAATTGGTGTAAGGGTTGTAAACGAGCCAAGCCAAACTCGAGTTTAGGGTGCTTGAGCTCGAGTTTCAATAAGCCGATTTTGAGCTTTAACGAGCCAAAGTATAAAAAATTATATAGAAATCTTATTTTTGAGTCTTAACAAGCCTTATCGAGCCGAGCTCATTAGCCAAACGAGCTTCAAATGAGCTCGAGTTCGGCTTGTTAAGACCTCGAACTAGAGCTTTAACGAGTCGAGTCGAGCCGAGCCGAGCCGAGTCGAGCCAGACTCGTTTAATTTAACAGCACTAATCGGTGTACACTTTTATTGAACCAAATCGTATGAGAACCGGGGGAAGATGGTAGGTCCTACCAGGTGAAGCATAACATAAGAGGGTGTGCCTAGATGCACCTTAGTGAGGTTACATCTTAAAACCAATTGGTTATGGGAGGAGTAACCCACTAGGCTTAAAAACTGAGCTTATTTACCTTATAGAATCAATGTGACACAACTCACAAGTGATATTCCAACAAGCCCCCTCACTTGTGAGTCCTTCGTAAGCCCAAGCCCAAGCTCAGAGCAGGCCGAATAGAGATATAGAGCCCAAGCCCAGAGCATGCAGGGTAGAGATAGTCATTGCAGGTCCTAGGACAAGCCCGCTCTGATACTATATTAAAAGCGGGGAAAGATGGTACGGTCCCACTAAGTGAAGCACAGATGCCTAGATGCACCTTAGTGAGATTCCATTCTAAACCCAATTGGTTATGGGTGGAGTAACCCACTAGGTTTATAAACTAGGTTCATATACTCTATATAATCAATGTAAAACAACTCACAAATGATATTCCAACAAAAAACCGTAGTTTGCTTTTGAATTTTGTTTTTAATTAGATCACATTAAGTACATATCACAATATAAAAAGAAAACTTATACATTTAAATACAAACTATATATTATTATTATTCATGCCGATAACACTACTTTCAAACATTTTAATCACAATTAAATACATGTCACAATTATTATCTATACAGGTTAAATTTATATGTAATAAAATACTTTTAAAATAATTTTAATTGAATGAATAAATAAATAAAAAAAGGGACATGGAAAGAGACATTCATGAGCTCCCAACAGGAAAGACAAAGATCAGAGCCCACGTGCCGGTCACATGTGTGGGCTACGGTCAAATGCCGGTGGCACCAGTGGGGACACGTGTTCGCCCCATGTTTGAATCATTGACCGCCTCATCTCGTGATTTGACTGTTAACCCACAAAAACACCCATTTGGTTGACTAATTTTATTATTCTTATTTATTTATTATTTATTTATTATTTATTTTTTTTATTGTTCTTCCTTTATTGGCTCTCATAATCCCTACAATCAAATTTTCTTTCACCTATTGTTGTGTTATTAACTTTAATCAATCACGTTCACAAACCAATATTACAGACACTTGGAATCTCATATCTACAAAAGTTTAAACCAAATAATTAAAAATAAAAAATAAAAATTTTGATTGAGTCAAAATTATTCAGAAAAGTTAGGTTAATTTTGAATTAAAATATTTTTTTTTTTTTTTTACAAAATTCGTGATGTATGTCTTCTATTACATCGTTCTAACAATTGAATTAATATATTTTTTTTTTCCTGCAAGTATCAATATTTTTATTAAAAAGTTTAAATAAAACATTATATAAATAAAAAAATTTTGTTTACATATATAGTATGTCTAATCAATTGCCTAATTGTAATTTAAAATGGATATTGTTTGTTTGTTTCCCATAGTCTTTTTCAGGGAGATACTACGGTCCCGTTACTGAACCATTATGTCGGAATTTGTAATAATCGTTAGATTAATTTTCTTCGACGGTTACATGATGGTTTAACGGTTAAAGACTCGACGGAATGGTTCCGTAACGTGACCGTAGCATTTCTCCCTTTTTATGTGATAATTATAAATCAAATATGGTAATTGAAGTTTAATAACTGCCAAATCTTGCAATTTCAACATTTCTTTTTGTGATAGTATTAAATAGATTTTGTTATGATATGCTAGAATTATTAACAAAAACAAAGTGCAAAGTCATAAGAAAATTAAGCATCAATTGCCGGAAGTATGCCCATGATTGAGTTGGACTCAATTGAGTTAGCTTAATTAGTAATTAATTAACTAATTAATTACATAATTAATTAAATTAAGATGTCAATTTGTCAAGGACATTATGCTTAATTCTACAAACCTATGTACGAACACAAACGTATATTACCGTATTCTTGTGACAATTTATATTTTTTATTTTTTATTTTAAATATTTACTCCAATAATTAATGAAAAACGTGGAAAAATATTGCTTCAAATCCAAGCACGGGATTATTTTCTTTAATTTCTCCTAATTTTTCTCTTTCAAGCGTAATTAATACGTATTTACTGTAGTCATTAATTAGGACATTACAAGCCGACACCTATATGTTTGTTAGAAGTAATAATTAAGTTAAAACGAGACAAGTACACAAAAATGTCTCAAGATAAGGTGTAATCATTTATTTAACCATAAACTATAATTTATGATTAAAACTTTTTTTTTTTATTTAAATAAAAAGCACTATGCAGCTAGCAATTCAAAGGGATAAACAACTTGATGTCGGTTAAACAAGGTCTCGAGTTCGAGTCATTGTGAATGCAGAAAACTCTGTTGGGAGACTCGCCCACCATTGCCAAGTGTGTGACTCGTGTCGACAAATAGATTAGTCGGAGAAATACTACGAATATCGTGGCTGGCTACTAAAAAAAAAAATTCGACTTTACATGTGAATTCATACTAGTAGCGTGACATGATGAAGATTAGGACAATAGTGAGCTACAAACGTTGAATTATTCTTGGTGGTAATCTATTTAGATATATAGATTAGTGGCAGAATGACACCAGCAAAATGTACCTAAGCTTTGTTGACAATATTTGTGGGGTTGGTAGTTGTGACTACATACCCTCAAATTCGAAGTTAATCACGAAATATTATCGATACGTGACTAACGGATACATCTTAATATGTCTACTGTGGACAAACGAACAATTTCGCTATAGGGTGTGTGGAAAATATTCAAAAGTAAATCTAATTTTAATCGATACATGACGTAATTTCAAAATTGTGCACTTAGTCGAAGATAATTTCGACCAGAAATTCAAATTTTAACTGAAAGTTTTTTCATGAGACTCTGGTCAAAATTATCTACGAATATGTCATTTTTAATATTTAAAAACTACTCGTAATTAATTTATATCCTAGTAAAACTACTTAATTTTTATTTTTCAGTCAAAATTATCCTCAAATTTATAATTAAAAAATATTAGTAATTAATTATTATTATTATAATAAATCTATTAATTTCCATTCACTAGAACTACATGGGATACTCTTTAATCTTTCTCAACATAAAAATTATATTCATTACAATATTAATATTAATAATAATAAAGTAGAGAGAGACCAACCCCCATGACCTCAATCAAAATCTTCTTCCCGTCAAAGCTTACATTAAAAAAATAATTAAAAAATAAAAATTAGACCACATAACATTATTTTCAAACCCATATATATAGTCTTCTCTTCCAACTCCTTAATTTCTCCACTATTAGTCTACTCCCTATAGTCTCTATAGATACCTTGTGGTGTTAGGCTTATTCATCTAAATTTTTTTAACTAACCTCATGTCTAAAGGGTTCCAAGATTTTTACTCCCATCACCAGCCGTCGGACCACGATGAAGACAATCAACGGCGGAGCTTCGCCGGCGCCTTCCCGTACTCCGGCGACTCCTTTTCGTCCTACACCAACTTTTTTGACCCTTCGTTTTTGAGCCTTCCCGAGCTTTTCCAAGTATCGACTGGCCAAAACTCGTACCTCGATGCTTTCGGCTTGTCGCCGGAGGCGTTTTCCGACGGTAATAAAGAGGAGCCTACGATGCCTCTGGCGGCGGCCGCCGGAGGTTTCGAGACTCCGGCGACTCCAAACTCTTCGATCTCTTCCGCTTCGGACGAGCACGACGAGAATTCGAACAAGGGCAAGAAAGGAGGAGTTATAGTAAAGGAAACCCTTGAAAATGATGATGAAGATGACTCCAAGAAAGAGTATTATATATGTTTATTTCTTGATTAGTATCTTTATGTAATTTCTTGATTTCTAGCTAGGTAGTTATATTATTCGATCTTATTGACACTAGAACTCATAGGGAAGAAAATTGATTTATGGATCGAATCAAAATTGCAGTATTTACAGACAAAAGTATTCGGTTATTGATAAAAATTTAATATATATACTTCTAATGTCAAATCAGGATTAACTAGGACAGAACTAAAGCATTGGGTCGATAATTTTATTTTTATGCGGTTTTTTTGTTTATATAGTTCAATAATTTTGTATTTATTCGTTTTCTTTAAATCGTTGAAGTGCTAAGGCGAGGAAAAAAGGGGTCGGGAAGAAGGAAAAACAACCGCGCTTCGCGTTCATGACCAAGAGTGAGGTCGATCATCTTGAAGACGGGTACAGATGGAGAAAATACGGTCAGAAAGCCGTCAAAAACAGCCCTTATCCGAGGTTCGATTCAGTTCGATTTTTATTGTATTTTTTTTAAAGATGAAAATTAAAAAAAAAAGAAAAAAAAAATGAATGAATTTGATTGATTTGTTTGAATATGAAGTATCCTTTAATTAGGTCTTTGTATGAAGTATGAACACTCTTGTGGAATTTGAACACATGACAAAAATCATGCGACTTTTGCTTACTAGTCAAACTTCAAGGCGGTTAACTAACCTGTGATAAAAATGACAAAATCTACTGCTTTCTTGAAATATTACAGGTTAATTATATATTTATATTATGTTTAAATGTTGTTACTTAATTTTACTGCAGAAGCTACTACAGATGCACGACCCAGAAATGCCCGGTGAAAAAACGGGTCGAGCGATCGTTCGAGGACCCCTCGATCGTGATCACCACTTACGAGGGGCAGCACAACCACCACGTCCCGGTGAATCTCCGGGGACACGTGGCGGCGGCAGCCGGAATATTCACTCACTCGATGCTTTCGCCGCCTTTCGAGGGCTCGAGTTTCTCTCATCAAGAGCTTCTGGGACAAATGCCTCATTTGTACGGTTACGGTGGAACGGCAAATGGGATGACGACGATGATGAACCATTATCAACGGAATACTCCGAGCGTGCCACATCAGCAGGTCGAACAGTTTCCGGACTATGGGCTGTTGCAGGATATAATTCCTCCTATGTTCCCTAAACAGGAGCCTTAGAGATTATTTTTACAGTTTTCTCTAACTAATATTACTTGATGCATGTTTTTTTGTTTGTTTTTTTCTTTAATTGTTCCTTTTTCTTTTGTTTTTTTATTTTTTAATTTTTGTTTTGCTCTTGCTGACTTGCATGGGCCTTTGTCTTATGGCCATGGCTAGTATATATAGTCTTATTTGGTACTCATGCTCTTATCTTCATTGCTTAAATCTCTCCATGAGACTATTGTTTAGTTCACAATGAAAAAAGAATGTGAGGTGTATGAAATGATGTCATGATTGAAGATGTAAACGAGTCGAGCACTGAAGTTCTTGGTGTTCGAGCTCTTATATCGAGTTGAGCTTTAACTTTTAACGAGTCGAATTATCTAAAACTTTTATGAAATTACGTAAAAACCACTACTATCTTCAAGCCTGACGAGCCGAGCTGAGCTCTTTCGTTTAACTGACTTATTAATAATTCAATAATTGTAGGTAGAATATATGGTTGATCTAATAATTCAACACAATGATTTTTTAAGGAATTTGCTAATAATGATTTTCTTATTATTAGAACATGCATTATATTAACATGCATGGTGTACAATACACTTTAAGCCTTTTGATCCATTATCAAGTGCTTGTCTTTTTTTTTTTTTTTTTCACCTTATGGTAATTTGTGAATGACTATTTACTTTCACCACCGCAAATTACATTTTGCCAAGTAAATGTGATCTAAGTCATGTACAAAATTACATTAAAATAGGGAAATACGAAGGTGAAGGTCTTGTTACGGAACTATTTCGTCGAAATTTGTAACCGTTTAGATCATCATGTAACCATTAGATATAGTTGATCTAACGATTACAAACCCTGACGTAATAGTTCCGTAACGGGACCGTAACATCCTCCCATTAAAATATTTATACAAATAAGGGCCCACAACATAACTACGACTTTCTTGCCTTAGACCAAGTCGTAGAGTACCCATGAAAACAACAATAATTGTTCTTTTAGTAAAATCTACAGCCTTTAATGTCTGTTTTTGCTAAAAATTCCGGCCATTTGACACACTCCAAATTCGAATAGTGTTTGTCCGTACCTTATAAATCAAAGTCAACTCTATTATATGGGAAACACAACATATGTGACACGACGAATAAAAATTTAAAACATTTCATTTTCACGTGCTTTGGATATATGGAAAATTCAATTTGACATAATACTTATAACTCAAAAAACACTTCTAATACCCAAGAACACTTGGATGAGATGGCTTGGGTCTCTTCCAGCTTAATCAGTGGTCTCGAGTTCGAGCCATGGGAATGCAGCAGTGTTAAAACTCTTGAGGGAGAGCTTTGCCACCCTTGTGATCCTACCCGGCTCGATTCCGGATTAGTTGGTTCCTCTGTGGATCCGAAAACC